TAAATTTAGAGTGCACAGATTACAGAGGGGAAACAGCACGGAAACAGCATAACTAGAGGTCAACAATATAATCTGATTTTGGAATGTTGTTTATTTGGAGCTTTTACCGAACAAGTAATGGCCAGTACATCTTTTCAATGGATTAAAAGTGGATAAGATAGAAAACATTGGCTCACCACACCCATCTCTGGGCAAAAGTTCCTTAGTAGTTGGATATTCATTTAGTGGGGGGTGTCGGGTGGTCGGTGTAAGGCCTGTGGACCCTGGATAGAGATTAGAGATAGTCGCAGAGACCACTGAGTGCCAAGATAGACTATTTTAAAAGGCAATCCAAAAGAAATGCTGATGCTGTAAATCAGGAACAAAAACAGAAGTTGCTGGAAAAGCTCAGCAGGTCTGGCAGCATCTGTGAAAAAAAAATCAGAGTTAATGTTTCGGGTCCGATGACCCTTCCTGATTTTTTTGTCACAGATGCTGCAAGACCTGCTGAGCTTTTCCAGAAACTTCTGTTTTCATTCCTATTTTAAAAGGTAGCTGTTTTCTTAAATGTTATGTGCCTTTGCCCTAACTCCTCATATGTTATCAACCCCAACCCACTCCTTGTTCTCCATTCATGCCCTCATTGGCCCTCACTCATCCCCAATATTCTAGATACTTTCCATGCCAACCTGTTAAACCCAACAACAATCACTCTTTCTAGACTCAGTGCTTACTCATGACTCCCCATCCCTTCCCATGGTTCATTATAGGTGCCATGCCAACTTTGTGCCAGCTCATGCCAATTAACATCCCCATCCACTACACTTTGCCCATGCAAACTCCATACCAGTATTCACATGGGCAGACCACAGCAGCCATGCTGACATGAAGTAAGATCAAGTTCAAAATATGTATTATTGGCATTATCAATTAAAATACTCTTGCATTTATAAAAGCCGGTTGAACAGATTTAAATCCTCTCCAGTAATAATTCCCTATAATAACAAATATTAATATTCATAAAATCATATCAAAGACTGTTCATCAGTTAATAGGTTCTTGGAGCTGTTAACCAAATGTGAACTCCCAGCCCTGACCCCCTGTGATAATGATAGATTGTCAAAAGTAAGCCTCCAGCTCCACACTGTGTTATCTCTTAAGCTTTAATATTGCTGCATTGCTATATTGCTTACACTAGGGTTACGCCAACAAATGTTTATTGAAATTGTTAGAACCAATATTCACTAACTCTCAGACACAGGAAGGCAGTTTTGTTTTCAGTCTTGAAGGGCTTGGTCATTTAAATAATTTGATAGCTTAACAGTTCTATGGGCTTCATCCACCCTTCATGGCATTTATGACTTCCTTAAAGATTCATAACTCCCAGGCTGTGGGAAAATAGGGGTCTGTTTAAACTCAGCCCTGAGTTTAAATGGGACTACTGGAAGCGGGAGTTATATTCCACCCTCATTTTCAGTCCTCACCCCGACCCAAAATTATATTCTGTCAGAAGTGGAGAAGGAACTTCTGGGTGCTGGTTTGCCTGCCATTTTGGATGGATCTCAGAGTCTCCATAACTCTCTGAAAATCCAGCCATGGTTCAACTGAGTCAAACAGTTACACTATGTCACGGGCAATTATTACAACATGCTGAGCGCTTAGAAAATCAGCCTTAATGTATCTGAGGCTGGGATGAATTAAATCCCATAGAAGATCAAAGACACCACTCAGATAGATACTCCCTGAACGCTAGCCCAGAATAGACTTCTACACTTCCCTGACCCCCTGGTACAGATTCCCAACTCTCTCTCCTTATGCTCTCTCCCAGTGGCTTGTCACAGACCCCCACTAAAGCTTCAACCCAGTACAGACCATCAACCAAACTCTGGTCTGATTTGGGACCACTACATCAGCTCTGCCAGACGTCAGACAGGTGGACCTCTTAGAATGTGAGTTCCCTGATTGGGGCTGTTAACCTGGCCCAATCAGGGAGCCCTGATTGAGAGATATAAACAGGAGTGTCAGAGGTTCTGTTCACTCTGACAGCTGGCTCTGAGGGACCTGGACCAGTGTCAAGGACTGTCCACGTGTAAGTAAAGGACGACCGGGTGATGGGATACCAGCCATTCACAGACCACCACCCCAACCCCCACCCCAATACAGAAGCCTGTCTCCTTCCCCAGTACAGGCCCAAACCCCAGCTCTGATGTTGTACAGACACCCACCCTAACCCCCACTCTGGGGTTCTGGGTGTCTCATGCTTCCTTCTCTCTTATTCAGTAGCATTTCAGAAAATGTTGAATGGGTCAGATGTTGTTCAGCACCTGGTTGAAATGATTGGTGATGGTGCAGCCCCCAGACTCCTATGTGGTGACAGTGGGGAAGGTCCAGAATTAATTCTGCAGCTCATCCAACTATGGCTTCCCTCCATTTCTTCGTTGCAGTATCTCCAGTCATAGGATGTGTTTCTGGAGGTTCAGAAAGAGGCAGATGTACGGAACTTAAGGAGCAACCAGCATGTGAGCGACAGAATCTGTCATTAGTGGAGGATCTCACAGATTCTGTTTCTTCTATGCTTGTTATTTCTCTGAACACAGCTCTGCTGTCACTAGCTGAAATATTTCTAAACACCTTTTCCCCATACGCTGTACCCTAAAGATTGAGATATAGATTTAAGATGGTGGATTTCCGAGATGCCAAAGCTGAGATCCACCAGACAACATAGGTTTCTCACCCCTGTGCCTCATTCTAGAGTAATGAATGAGGTCAGCAAATGCAGAATCAAGGAGCAAGTGGCAAAATGGGAAAAAAAGAAGTCATGGTGATTTTAGCGTGGGAAAGTTCCTCAGATAGCACTTCTGGCTGTACAAAAGAAGAACAATCGATAAAATTGCAGGTATAAACAAAACTCATAGAGGTATGGTGATAATATCAGTAGGCTAGTAATCCAGATCCTTTGAGGTTATGGGTTCAAATCCCACCCTAGCAGGTGGTGACATCCAGTAAAATGTGAGGGCATTGTAGCACAGTGGTAGTGTCCCTACATCTAAGTCTGAAGGCCTGGGCTCAAGTCTGACCTTCTCCAGAGGTGTGTAATAACATCACTGAAGGGTTGATTACAAAATGAAATTGTAGAAAGGGTATGCATTTGACCAATGAAGTTCGGCTCAGATAAGTGTAAGACAGTACAGTTTATTAGGAAGAACAGTGGGGTCAGTTATTACTTGGGAAAGTCCAGGATGAAGTGAGGCAGGAAATAAAGGTCATTGGAGTACAAATAGCACCAATCATGGAAAGTTGCACAACAGATTAGCAGAGTCACAAGAAAAGCATGACACCAGACTTTTATTGCTAATGGGGCAAAATTAAACGATCAGGAAGTTATCCTAAACTTGCATCCAATCAAATAACGATGTAAGTGTTGCTGTAGTCATAAAATCACAAATAAAAAGGATATCGAATCACTGGAGAGGGTACAGTGAAGATCGACAGCAATGATATCAAAAATGTGAGGGTACACTCATCAACAGAGGATGCTGGCTCTCTTTACTGTTGTGGAAAAGATGGCTGTGGGGTAACTTAATAGAGGTATTTAAAATCATGAAATGTTTGGATAGAATGAATACAGACAGAGTCTTTCCTGTTGTGGGAAACAGCATAACTAGGGGTCATCAATATAATAAAATAGTATACTGTATGGTATGTGTATGCTTTAGTGTATATGCCTATATATACGATAATTGTATCATTCTATGTAATAAAGGCCATCCATTAGTCCTTTTGATTATATCTTATGCTCATTCATGATGTTTATATGACCGATGCAACTGGACAACTAAATGTCTTTGGATTTCCATACTTTTCCAACTTTTCACCATTTAGTAAGTATCCTATTCCATCCACTTTAAGTTGAAAGTAGACAACATCATATTTGTATACATTGAAATCTATTTGCCTCAGTTTTGCACTTTCACTTAAATAATATTTCTTTGTAATATTATGCTCCAATGGATTGCTTACAATTCTACCGATCTTTAAGTCATTGATAAAAATGAAACCTTCTACTCCTTTATCTAAGTCATTTATAAATGCAATGAACCATTGAAGACCCAACACAGATCCCTGCAGGAAGGCACCAGTTGTATCCCGTCAATTAGATTACCTACCCATTATCCATTCTCTTTGTCTCCAGCTGCTCAGCCAATTACTCGAACAGGTCAGCAATTTTCATGCAACACTACCAACTTCAACAATAGCTAACAGTCTCTTTCAATACACTTTATCCAATACCCGCTGAGAGTTTATTTACATGCTACTCAGAGACATTCCACTGTCCTGCTTAAAGTTACCTCATCCAATAATGTAATCAACGTCATTTGGCATCACATACTCTTCAGTAATCCATGCTGGTTCCTTCTAATTAAGGGGGTGTGATGGCCTAGCGGATTTGTCACTAGACTAATCAATCTAGAGATTCCAGTAATGACCTGAAGTCCCAAGTTCAGAATCCCACCAAGGGGAAAGATTCATCAATTCAATTGAACTGAATTCAATAACAATCTGGAATTAGGAATATAATGATAGCTATGAAACCATTGTCAGGGGAAAAACCCATCTGGTTCACAAATGGCCTTTAGGGAAGGAAACTGCCATTCTTATCTGGTCAGGTCTACATGTGACTCCATACCCACAACAATTTGATCAACTCTTAACAGCCCCATGGTCAATTAGGGATAAATTCAGTTGTTGAGTAAAAAAAAGCTAGACTGAGACTGGCCATGACCTAATGTTAAGCAGGTGGCCCAAATAAAATTATGAATCATATCCAGTTTCAGAATCATAGATCAATTGCATCATGAGGTTGTGTGAAGTTTGGAACAGATTGTGCACTGAAGTCCATGTTCTGCTGTTATCCAACTAGTGTAAGAGTTAGAACAGATTTGCAGTGCACTGTGTTACTGTTTGTTTGTGCCAAAGAAAGAGGGCATTGACCTATTCTAATAGTGACTTTCCTTCATTAGAACTTGTTTATTGATCGGATTGGGCGCAGGATGCTGCTTATGGGAGGTTACAGTTTGATGGTTGGTTCGGGAATATTGTTTACCATCTCCCTGACTCTCCAGGTGAGTCACAAACCACCCTCCCCATCACACTTCAAAGTAAGAAGCCAGTTGCAGTGAGTGTATTTTAAAGGAATTTTTAAAAATTGTGTAAGTCACGTTGGTGTTGGGGCTTTCAGTGAGGGCGAGTGATATTTTTGAGAGCATGGGGAAGCGGAGCATCATCCGAATTCCCTGCTTTACTTGTGAGGCTGAATGAACCGCACTCACCCTGGGATTGCACATTCTGGTGTTCTCCAGAGCGTGTGACTCATCTGAATTAGCATGGGATTAGTGAATGAATGTTTTATTATTATTTTAGTTTAGTGAATGAATTATCACCATGGCTGCATTTCTGACACTCCTCTCTGGGACGCCACAGGGTATGGAATAGCTGGCTCTGGCCCAGCTTCCTCTGGCTTTGCTTCTTCTGACCTCACTTCCTCCAGCATGGAGCCTTATTCGCTACTGTCACTCACCTTCTCATTGCCCCTCCAACCAGGGGCCACTGCTCTGCATGGTTGACCTGCAGCCAACTGAGGGTCCTACGTAGTCAATTGAAGTCCTCGATTAAGAACTTCAGGCTACTGACTACCTCAACAGTAGTCCAATTTGCATTTGATTTCCTTAATGTGGAGAAGATCTACATTGGGATGGCTTCCATAATTCAGAATACAAGAGTTGCTAACTGGCCAGCAATTAAAGATCTACTTCAATGCACAATTAGATTGTGACCATCAGAGTGATAGCTGCAGTCCATCAGGACCAGCTCCAGCTTGTTAATCTTGTCCCGAAGTGGTGCTCGAAACACAGTCTCCTCACTCAGATAAAAGTAACTTACTAAGCCTTGCTAACACTGTCAGTTAGTTGCACTAATAAACAGTGAGAGGAAGGGCTAAACACTACATATTTTAATTTCACTCTCTGTATGTGTTGACCCAGGACAAGATCAGCTGGATGCCATACTTGAGCATGGCCTGCATCTTTGCTTCTATTCTAAGCTTTGGAATTGGACCAGGTAGGTGGCCTGTTATGAATGACTCTTATGATATCAAAAGGATCAGCTCCTTATTAAGAACCACCTTGTACGAGATGCCCTGGCAACAAGAGCAGTTAGTGTGCTTGACGTCTCACCTACTCATTGAGACTGTCTGAGGGTCACATCTAGGATTATCCAGGACTCAGGAATACATAATATTAAAGTAGATTCACATTGACGACTTTTTCCCGAGTGTCCCAGTGGCAGACACTAGGTGCTTTACACACAAACATACGCTGGCAGCATGAGCTGGCTAACTGAGGATCTCCTTGAGTGATGACCTCCACCTTAATTAGCACTTTCCAGCAAACATGTCCGAACCAGCAGCTGGTGGTGAGTCAGTGAGAGTCAGGCAGGAAATGTCAGCAATTTCCAGGCACAGAGACTGTAACACAGGCAGGGCTGTATCACTGCTAAATGTCTCTCTTGTGTAAAGTGCAGAGTCATAGAGTCATACAGCATGGAAACAGATGCTTCAGTCCAACTTGTCCACGCCAACCAGAAACCTTAAATTAATCTAGTCTCATTTGCCAGTATTTGACCCATATCCCTCTAAACCCTTCCCATGAATGTCCCAATCCAGATGCCTTTTAAATGTTGTAATTGTACCTGCCTCCGCCACTTCCTCTCGCAGCTCATTCCATACATGCACCACCCTCTGCGTGAAAAAGTTGTCCCTTAGTTCCCCTCTCACCTTAAACCTATGCCCTCTAGTTTTGGACTCCCCTACCCTGGAAAAAAGACCTTGGCTTTTTATCCTTATCTGTGCCCCTCATGATTTTATAAACCTCTATAAGGTCACCCCTCAGCTTCCGATGCTCCAGCGAAAATAGCCCCAGCCTCTTCAGCCTTTTCCTATAGCTCAAACCCTCCAACCCTGACTACGTCCTTGTAAATCTTTTCTGAAACCTGTCAAGCTTAACAGCATCTTTCCTATAGCAGGGAGGCCAGAATTGAATGCAGTATTCTAAAAGTGGCCTAACCAATGCCCTATACAGTCACAACATGACCACTCAATGCCTATATTCAATGCACTGACCAATAAAGGCAAGTGTACCAAATGCCTTCTTCACTATCCTATCTACCAATGACTCCACTTTCAAGGAACTATAAACTTGCACTCCAAGGTCTCTTTGTTCAGCAACACTCCACAGGACCTTACCATTAAGTGTGTAAGTCCTGCCCTGGTTTGCCTTTCCAAAACACAGCACCTCACATTTATCTAAATTAAACTCCACTTGCCACTCCTCAGCCCATTGGCCCATCTAATCAAGGTCCTTTTGCAATCTGAGATACCTTTCTTCACTGTCCACTACAACCACCAATTTTGGTGTCATCAGCAAACTTATTAACCATGCCTCCTATGTTCACATCCAAATCATTTCTATAAATGACAAAAAGCAGTGGACTTAGCACCGATCCTTGTGGCACACCGCTGGTCACAGAACATAGAACATAGAACATAGAACATTACAGCGCAGTACGGGCCCTTCGGCCCTCGATGTTGCGCCAACCTGTGAAACCAATCTGAAGCCCATCTAACCTAAACTATTCCATTATCATCCATATGTTTATCCAATGACCATTTAAATGCCCTTAAAGTTGGCGAGTCTACTACTTTTGCAGGCAGGGCATTCCACCCCTTACAACTCTCTGAGTAAAGAACCTACCTCTGACATCTGTCCTATATCTATCACCCCTCAATTTAAAGCTATGTCCCCTCGTGCTAGCCATCACCATCTGAGGAAAAAGGCTCCCACTGTCCACCCTATCTAATCCTCTAATCATCTTGTATGTCTCTATTAAGTCACCTCTTAACCTTCTTCTCTCTAACAAAAACAGCCTCAAGTCCCTCAGCCTTTCCTCATAAGACCTTCCCTCCATACCAGGCAACATCCTGGTAAATCTCCTCTGCACCCTTTCCAATGCTTCCACATCCTTCCTATAATGCGGTGACCAGAACTGTACGCAATACTCCAAGTGCGGCCACACCAGAGTTTTGTACAGCTGCAACATGACCTCATGGCTCCGAAACTCAATCCCTCTACCAATAAAACCTAACATACCGTAAGCCTTCTTAACAACGCTATCAACCTGGGTGGCAACTTTCAGTGATCTATGCACATGGACACCGAGATCTTTCTGCTCATCCACACTACCAAGAATCTTACCATTAGCCCAGTACTCTGTATTCCTGTTACTCCTTCCAAAGTGAATCACCTCACACTTTTCCACATTAAACTCCATTTGTCACCTCTCAGCCCAGCTCTGCAGCTTATCTATGTCCCTCTGTAACGTGCAACATCCTTCCTCACTATCCACAACTCCACCGACTTTGGTGTCATCTGCAAATTTACTAACCTATCCTTCTATGCCCTCATCCAGGTCATTTATAAAAATCACAAACAGCAGTGGCCCCAAAACAGATCCTTGAGGTACACCACTAGTAACTGAACTCCAGGATGAACATTTCCCATCAACCACCACCCTCTGTCTTCTTACAGCTGGCCAATTTCTGATCCAAACCGCTAAATCACCCTCAATCCCATGCCTCCATATTTTCTGCAATAGCCTACCGTGGGGAACCTTATCAAACGCTTTACTGAAATCCATATACACCACATCAACCGCTTTACCCTCATCCACCTGTTTGGTCACCTTCTCAAAGAACTCAATAAGGTTTGTGAGGCACGACCTACCCTTCACAAAACCGTGTTGACTATCCCTAATCAAATTATTCCTTTCTAGATGATTATAAATCCTATCTCTGATAATCCTTTCCAGCACTTTACCCACAACCGAAGTAAGGCTCACTGGTCTATAATTACCAGGGTTGTCTCTACTCCCCTTCTTGAACAAGGGGACAACATTTGCTAGTCTCCAGTCTTCTGGCACTATTCCTGAAGACAATGACGACATAAAGATCAAAGCCAAAGGCTCCGCAATCTCCTCTATAGCGTCCCAGAGAATCCTAGGATAAATCCCATCTGGCCCAGGGGACTTATCTATTTTCACACCTTCCAGAATTGCTAACACCTCCTCCTTATGAACCTCAATCCTATCTAGTCTAATAGACTGTATCTCAGTATTCTCCTCGACAACATTGTCTTTTTCCTGTGTGAATACTGCCGAAAAATATTCATTTAGCGCCTCTCCTATCTCTTTGGACTCCACGCACAACTTCCCACTACTGTCCTTGACCGGCCCTAATCTTACCTAATCAGGCCTCCAGTCTGAAAAATAACCCTCCACAACCACCCTCTGTCTCCCACCTTCAAACCAATTTTATATTAAAATGGCTAGCTCCCTGGATTCCACATGATCTCACCTTGCTAACCAGTCAACATTTCACTATAATAGTCTAGGAAGAAGATCCACTGAGTGGGATTCTGGTATAAACTCAGTGACAATCAAATGAAAATGATAAACAATATCTATTTTACTCAAACCATTGCCTAGGCCAACAGCATTGCTTATTGGCATGTTACTGTTTACACATTACATATGAGAAAAGCTCTACGGACAAATGCAATGGTAGAAATCAGTTATAAAATATTTCTCATTCAGTAAAATTACATTGTCTATAAATTTCTTCACAGCAAATGTCTATATCCCATCAAAGGAAAAGGGAACTGGATACATAAGCTTTTTATTTTCGCCTATGTTACCGGATTTCTTTCTGGTGACCAGTAAATAACCAAAACCAAAGGAGCAGCAATGATATTCCAGCAAAAATTATTCAACGTAATATGACATGAAGCAGCTGGTTCCAGATGGTTAATGTGTTGTCTGGTTGATATTTGCAAAATATATGCCAACACAAATTTTGCTCAAACTAACTTGGAGTTTCTGGGCATTGCCATGAAATTGTTTTCTAACTTTTTCAGTTGTTAAAATCTATAGAAGGTGACTGAACAACTTCCTACAATCAATTTTAAATGGTATTTAAAGGGATTGCTATCTTCTTGGATGGAAATGTTTGATTTAATCTGATTTTATTTGATTCATTTACTGTGATCACATACTGAGATATAGTGAAAAGTGTTGTTTTGTGTGCTATACAGGCGGATTGTACCATACAAAATGTGTCAGGGTAGCAAAACAGTGTGCAGAATACAGTGTTACAGCCGCAGAGAAGGTGCAGAGGGAAAGAGATCAACATTAACATTTGTGAGGTCCGTTTAAGAGTCTGATAACAGAGGGGAAGAAGCTGTTCTTGAATCTGTTCATACGTGTATTCAAACTTTTATATCATCTTACCTGATGGAAGAGAGTATAACCAGGGTGGGAGGGGTCTCTGATTATATCGGTTGCTTATCTGAGGCAGCAGGAAATATAGATGGAATCAATAGATGGAAGGTTGGTTTGTGTGATGGACTGAGCTGTGTTCACAACTCTTCTGTAGTTTCTTGATTTCAATTGATTTGATTTATTGTTGTCACACAGAACGATAGAATCCCTACAGTGTGGAAACAGGCCCTTTGGCCCAACAAGTCCACACCGACCCTCAGAGCATCACACCCAGACCCATCCCTCTATAACCCACCTAACCTAAACATCTCTGGGCACTATGGGCAATTTAGCATGGCCAATCCACCTAGCCTGCACATCTTTGGACTGTGGGAGGAAACCGGAGCACCCAGAGGGAATCCACACCGACATGGGGAGAATGTGCAAACTCCACACAGACAGTCGCCCGAGGGTGGAATCGAACCCGGGCTCCTGGCGCTGTGAGGCAGCATTGCTAACCACTGAGCCACCGTGCCACCCCTACATGTACCTAAGTACAGTAAAAAGTTTTGTTTTGCATGCAGTATAGACAGATCGTAACATGCAAGGACATACAGATCATAAGGATATTTAGATAGACCTAGGCACAAACAGATATGGCTGCACAGGAGGTACACAAAAGCAAGATCAACATTAGATTTGAAATTAGAGAGGTCCATTCAGAAGCCTAATAACAGCCTGGGAGAAGC